TTTTTCTTCTACCCTGAAGATGGAGGCGATACGTTCCTCCGAAACGTCGGTTAACACCACATATACACGGTGCCAAATCCCAGAAGACTGCTTTCTTCATAGTCACCGCCGTGAAAGCCTCAAATCTTACATAGTGTTCAAATCTGCCTGCACACAGGATAGCACTTTCAGTCACTTTTATTGCAGTATACTTTTTCAGCTATTCCTTTCAGTCTGACTGTTGATTGACTTATACTGTGAAGTCTTCCATTTAATGACTGTACAGCCCTCTTTCTACTTTGTTTATGTATTTTATTGCTACTGTCAATTTCATATGATGAACCATTCTCTTGTTCAAACAAGAGGTTAATAGTTTTAAACTGTAATAAGAAAAGCTTCTTTGTACATTTGTCATTTTAAAGATTATATTTTTTATGTCATTCATGGACGGACATTTCCTTGGTTCTTCCTGCAAGTAGAATGTCTTCCTTTAAATGGATTGCAACACACTTGGGGCATGTGATAGCATATTTGGTTGAGGAGCTATGCTACAAGCTGGAAGGTCGCGGGTTCAGGACCTAATGAGGTCACTTGATTTTTTTCAGTTGACCTAATCCTTCCAGCTGCACTATGGCCCTGGGGTCGACTCAGCCTCTAACAGAAAAAAGTACCAGGAATATTCTTGGGGGTAAAGGGCAGTCAGCATGTAAGGCTGACAACCTTACCGCCATCTGTGAGCCGATTGTCTAGAAAATGTGGGAACCTCAATGTCTCACATCATTCCATTTGCATAAAGCATTTAACCATAACTAATAACACATAGTGGTTTGCACAATTAATGTGCAAAAAGGTTTATTGTTGCAAGTAAACTGTAGTACTTGACGTGCTGCAAAGTGTCAGAAGAGAACAATGAATGCAGAGATACTATTGCACATGGCATTTCCACAAGTGCTCAGAGAATGCAGACGACTGCAAAGGATGAATCACAGCATGAAAACTGAGACCAAGTTGCAGTGTGTATTGCAACAGTCACTGAAGAAGCCATGAGAGTCTGGAGTGTCATGGTTTTATTAAGAGAGGTCTCATGGCTGTCCCAGGATGATAGTTTGCTGCAGCGTTATGAGCCAAATATATTTTTCTTAAACAGAAAATTTCACGTGAGAAATTGAGGATCAAAAATCACATTAGATGACACCAAAACAGAAATTGCTTTGTCTGAAAGTCAGTTCTATATCTGTGAAAAGAGCGTTTCATTAACTTTAAAACAAGTGCAATATGAACAGTCTTAGCTTGTACAGAACAAAAGTCTGAATAATTTTTATTGGAGATGGTGTGTCAAAAATGCTGTTGAGATATCTGTTGGCATAAGATGCCATATAGGTTCATGAATGTCAACTGACGTTTCAGATTAACATTTCACCTCAATCCTCAGGGTCGAAGAATAAGCCAGACAGGAAACAGTATTAACCACACAGAAAGCAGAATGTGCGTCCTGCTTTATGCTCGTTTTTTGTTAGGCATGTTTCTCAGTCTTATAGATGAAGGTTGTATGTTCCTCTGAAATGCTGGTTGACATTCACCAGACAATACAGAGTTGTATCTTAGTATTTATGTTACTACAATGCTGTGTCTGCACAGTATCTACTGAAAATTTTTAGAGTAGCAATGCATCTCCTTTTCAGAAAAATACCTTAAAATAATATGGCAACATCCTTTGTCCCTTCCCTTTCTCCCAGAAAACAAAGGTAATCTTGATTTTGGGTATAGCTATAAACTTTCAGTTATTTGTGTTCCAGGGTGGGAGAGGAGGTGCAGAGGCTTAATGTGATTCACTCATTGCCATTTCTTCTCACAGCTGAGGAGCCACAATGCATGCAGAGAATTTTGCCAAAGGTGCAGCAGGTATGCTATAACAGTAAGCTATCCTTAGTTGTGTGAGCTTAGCTGATAGTGTAGTCAGTGAAATATTGGGCCACAGGTGGGATTTTTCTCTTTGTGATTAGCTCTAGAATGACTGCAGCCAACCCAGTTTCCTGTGGATTCTTGGTACCAAAGACAGTCTTATCACCAACTTCCAGATAATATTGAGATTATGTATACATGCTTACGATCTAGGCATTCTGCTTCTCTGTCCTCAGTACAGTTGGAGATATCTTATATATTATGTCTGGTTAGCCACATGAAATTTTCCATAATAGTAGTATGTTAGTTTGGACATTAATCTATCTGACACGTGTTACCAAATAAGAATGAAATAGTAGTGGTCTGATTTTTTCTGTTGTATGTTGTTTATTATGGAAAGACTTAGATTTAGAAACTCATGTGATTTCATTTTGAATAAGCAGATTCAAGTAGAGTTCAGCATAATATAAATTTGTATTGATATTTATAAATGTTGGATTGTTGCAATTTTTTAACTATTATAGTTCATGTGGAGTTGAATTAATCACAGTTGTACTAAACGTTGTACTACACATGGAGTTGAATTAATCATATTTGTACTAAATATTCTAGTTCACGTGGAGTTGAATTAATCACAGTTGTACTAAATGGGAACTAAATTTTCCATATGTAGCATTTTCAAACCAAATGCTCCTCTTGCAAAGGTTGTTGAGGATATAGGGAAGCTTGATAAAGGCCTTACCAAGCAAGATAATATTATTATAGTGGGAGGCCCAGGAAACAGCCAGGATAGAAACTATCATTATTCAATTAAAAATAATCTCAACTACATTGCAGAGAGGACATCAAACACCAATGTGGGATTTGTCAGCCTCTTTGAGAGGCATGACAAGCCGCGGATGAATGCGGGGGTTAGAAGCATGAATCTAAGGCTTGATCGGGTCCTTATGGGTCATGACATGTCTCACATTGGTGTCATTGACACATCAATTGCAAGGGAAGATTACACAACGCATGGCCTGCACCTGAGCTGTCGAGGCAAGAAGAGGCTCATGCAGCTTATTGCTGAGAGGGTTGGTGGTCATGTGTCAGTTATAAGCGGTATTCCTGTTATAACCAATGCCAGGGCATCTCCTTTTTTAGATTAAATTCAAAAGCACCAAGATGCCTAACTTATATTAAATGCAGTCCAGCAGTCTTGGAAATTCACAGACAAAATGCAGAAACATTAAATACAATAAATATCTTTCACCAAAATATCAGAGGCTTGAGAAGCAAAAGTGATGAATTACTACTCTTTTGAAATAGACAACATAAACACTCACATATTATGTCTAAGTGAACATCACAGGGTTGAACAGGAATTGCTGCTCCTCTTGTTGAATGGTTACCTGTTAGGCTCAAGTTTTTGCCAAAAGAGCCTACAGAGGGGAGGAGTGTGTATTTTTTTTAAGACAGATCTACATTTCAGTAAAATTGATATTTCTCATCACTGTAAGGAGCAAGACTTTGAAATCTGTGCAGTACAGCTAGTAACTAAAACATCTCACCTAATTATATTAAGCCTGTACAGAGCCCCTTCATGAGAGGTTAATGAATTTCTAAGGAGACTAGATGCAACTTTAAAATATCTGTACAATCTAAAGTCTGAGTTTATAATCTGTGGAGACAGACATAAACTATTTAATTGAAAGCAGTAAAAAAAAAACAAGTAAACTCTTTAATAAGGACATACAATCTGTCACACAAAGTGAATTTTGCGACAAGATTTCAAAATTCCTCAAGCACAGCCATTGATAATATCTTTGTAGATAATGCAAGGTTAAGCTCTTCTTGTACATCTCTTATAGTCAGCAGCCTCTCTGACCATGATGCTCAGTTTCTTACAGTAAATAATATTATTGCGGAACTGCATTCAACACCCTTGAAACAGAGAACCAGAAAAATAAATAGTGAAACCATTGCTCAATTTCAACATCTATTAGAAAATGAAACATGTGAAACGTAGGTACCCTACAGAGGATACTCCAGGTTGCGTATAGGTTCACGTGATCACAGGACAGGGCGAGCAGGGGAGGACAAAGAAATCAGCAAGGCGGAAATACCCAAACAGAAATAACCAAATCAAATATTAACAAAGAATAAATATAATATATTAATAAAGAAAGAATACAAACATAATGTAAATACCTGTATGAGAATGATTGCAGAGTTCGCTGTTCTAAGATAGAATACTATGTAGAGAAATTAATTTAGACGGTCGAGGATGACCTCGACCGGTGGTCCGAAACGAGAACAACCTACCCCATCGACGGTTGGAGAGCCAAGAGCCCCTAGCTCCACACGTTAGGCCGCTAAGTCGGCTCGGAAGGGGAAGGAGAGAAGGGGACAGTAGAGAAAGTAGAGGGGAGAAGTGCGCACACAGACCACGGACAGGAGCCGACGTCACAGCCCCCCCGAAATGAGCCCCCCCCGGCATGTGTCACTGTCCGGAATAAGCGTGTGACCACCAAAGGTCTCAGCGTCCACAGGTATACATCGCGAACCTGGCCTCCCTCGGGCAGGCGTACACCGCATGGGAAACTCGTAGGGCGGGTCGTACAAACACTGGCTCACTGATCTCATCCGCCGTAAGTTCTGGAGACAAGTCTCTCACCAGCCTTACGGGTGTAACACTCAGGGCCTCACACAAAACACCAGCCCGCACAAAGGGCGCAGCCGACGATACAGAAGAACGACGCTACACCTCCCAGGTGGCGTCGGTAGTCGACCCCCGCCCAGCACGCTTCCACTGCGCATCCACCATCCATGCGTATGTCCATAGTACCACCAATGCGCTGATCACGCCGAGCGGAACTGCCGGGGGAAACTCCAGATTAGGGCTCCACCCAAAATCCGTGATAGTGGCCGGCGCCTGGCCACGACCCGACTCGGGGCCCTAATAGAAGGAGGTACGGGAGGGGAAAGGAGAACATGAGGAGGAATAACAGCAAGCGCAACTCTGCAACATTAGCGAAGAAAATTAGGAAGCATTCGCAATACAATAAATAAGAAAAATAAAACCATACAAGGCGTGCCCAACTAGCACTTAGACAAATACAAGATAAAAAGAACAAATGTGGCTGAACCATACACAAACAATAGCCACGGAAATGTTTGAACAAAATAAGATTCTCCTTTCCCTTTACAAATACCATGAACTGAAAAATACATACATAATGAAAACAAACAGGGAAAGAAGAACGCGCTCACGCCATTTTTAACTGAGATACGTGAGCGCGGGCCTTAGGTCTTCCCAACTCGTCAACCAAGCGAACAGAAACTGGGGTGGTGAACTCTGCAATGCGAAAAGGCCCCCTATATCTTGGGCTTAATTTAGCTGACAATTTCCGTTCCGCCTTGCTAACGGGAAAGTTACGGAGCCAAACTAGGTCTCCGGTACGAAAGGGAACGGGTTTACGGGTACTATCATATCTAGTTCGCACAACCTCGTGCGCTAGACGTAAATTCCGCCGTGCTGCGTCCCAACGTTCGCGAATAGAGTTTGCGTCACAGTGGTCAGGTAACAGGTCTTTAAGGGACCACAAATTCGACAACGGAGAGTTGGGTGTGAAAGTAAACATCAGGCTATAAGGTGAGACTTTGTGCGAATCATGTCGCGCTGAGTTGAAAGCAAACTGGAGCCATGACAAGTTCTCATCCCACCGCGAATGGTCACGATGGTGGTAGGCAATCAAAGCCGCGCGAAGATTCCTATTAAAACGCTCAGCATGAGAAGGTTGAGGATAATACGGCGTAGTGGTCACGTGACGAATGCCTCGGGCAAAACACATCCGCCGAAACTCGCGTGATGTGAACTGAGCCGCATTATCAGAGACCAAAACCTCCGGAACACCAAACACTGCAAAAATAGAATGCAACGCCCGTGTTGTCGTTGCAGTAGACGCTTCCCTCACGGGGAAAATCCAACTAAACTTGGTGAAAGCGTCAA